GCGTATCAGGCCTAAACGTGACCGCTAGGTGTCAATCGCAGTACTTAACTTTTAGCACGGGGTCGATTCCAATTTTATCGTTGATCAAATGAAGAGCGGTTCGGTTCCCCGAAATGAAGTCAGTGCCCCCCAAACGCAGTTTATAAGCAATCAACATCCACAGCGTAAACACACAAAAAAGGTAGCAATTATAATAATTTAATTAATTTAATTCACAACGGACCTTTTCGTTGTCTGTTGTACTGGCGATGTTTCCAAAGCCGACCGTTGACATACAGCTCATAGTGAAGTACAGAGCTGAAATCAATAATGATTTTCCGGACTTTGTATTTCGCATTTTTTCTTCAGTGGATATTTGTTGTTATGAAAATTTCAGTTTTGGCTTAGACATTCTAGTCAAGTTCACAGTAATGGACAAATTTTTACAAATCCGGCTCAGTTTTCGTGGAGTGGGGCAGTAACGAGTAAGTGGAGCCGAGGCAGGTCATCCTACCCGAAAAAGAGCTCTCTCGTCACTTACCTAGGTCATTTGCTCTCTCTGAGCTGGAGAGCATGAAATCAGGGTCAACCGTCACATTCTGACTTTCTCAAAAATTTGTGACACTCCCTATAGTGGGGTCTCGATGTGGCTCACCACGAGCAGTCTTAAGGCTCTCCCAATACGACCTTCCCCCTTCTCAGACCACCAATCTCACTATCATGGCTGTTTCTACAAGTATTTGATTCCGAAACCGGTCGACACAAACTCCGCCCACTCCCCCCCAGAAAACATCCGCCGAGCGAAAGGGGGGGGGGGAAGCGGTAAATTGGTAACATAAGGCGGCAAGTCTGCTAATTTTGCCTTATTTTCACTAATTTCTCAATCCATCGAAACCCGTCCAAACACAATCTCTAAGGAACCTCCGACCTTTGCTCCCACTATGCTAACCTCACCCAACTTAAAATGCGAGCTACCCTCCTCCGAAATCACAGATGCAACACCCTCGTTCGGATAGTGCGAACGAGCGGTTGACCCTGCATGGAAAAAGTGTAGATCATGTAAAAAATTGAAAACGACAGTACAAATTCCATTCATAATCGATAAGTGACCGTAGCGTAATTATGAAATAAACGGCTGTTGACAGATTCCCGTTATGAAAGTAGGAAAACTCACATGAAATATAAGAGCTGGTCCTTGACGGCCCTCCAACTAATCGGGTCCTATTTGATAGGTTGATGTTGTACGGTGACTTGAGGTCATTGGCCAATCGAAACAGCCAACCGTCTGGTAGCAATGGATTGTCCATCTGTAATTGATTTCCTTGCAGTTGTTACTATATGGCGTATGTACTACGAAAAAGAACACAGTAACTCCGCCCAAGTGAACTTTACCTTGATGCGAACTTCATATTCTCCTATGCTGAACCAGATACACGCCAGCCAATGAGCTACCAGAACGTAGGCACAGAGTAAGAGCAGTAATGTTGCTGCTCCGTACTCAAGATAGTTGTCCAGTTTTCGAGCTACTCGTCCCAATCGTAACAATCGGACGACTTTTAGCGCCGAAAATAGGCTACCAATTCTCTGAAATTTTAGCAAAAGTTAGGAAAAATAGGAGAGAAGCGAAATGTTCATCAATAACGATACGGAATAGAGAGAGCATTCAGGGACGGGTGCGCCACGAATTCGTCACGTATGCGTAAAATGTAGGTGATTGAGTGAGGAATCCTAACGCCGAATATGACAGTCCTCCGGGGTAAATTTTTGTTAAGGGAAACTTCTGCAGCCGCAATGGTCTCTACCGGGTGTCTTTGGAATGAGATGGTGCGCCTCATAGTCGGCTTCACCCTATTCGATTTATTGACCTTCCCATCCTATATTAAGTAACGTCCAAGAAAGTCAAGAGTTCTGGCGCATTTCTGCGAGATGAAGTCAGAAAGACTTGGAAAAGAAACTTCATGCGGAAAAACGATACTGAACACATTTCTGTTCGAGACACAACTTCAATTGGGCCTACAGGAATCTCCTAATTTGCATTTATCGACATCTCTGCTTTTCCAAATTTAGTCCTGGAGAATCATCTCTTTATCTCGCCTGCTGCCTAGCTGGTTCACTTAACAATGTTTTGTGTTCCCTAGTTTTACTGATGTTAAGATGTGAACTTATGTAGCGCACCTAAGCGTGCAATAAATAAATAAATAAATAAAAATATTTCATACCTCGTCATCTCGTTTAAACATATAGAATATATCGTAAGGCAGGCACGATAAAAGATCGATAAGGAACCATGATTTGAAGTAGTTTTGACGAATTATCGAGGGGTCTATGACAACCTGAAAAAGTCTTCAATTATCGAGAGGGAACATACCTTCAGTTTATCGAGTAAAAGGGATAGTTTAAAAGCTTTATTTCTTTCCTTGCTTTTGCAATTAGTCATCCACCCTAGAGTTCAGTTTTCGCTTTCTCGGTATCGTTATCTTTGGCAAATCTTAGCTACTCACATTGTCACGCTTCAACTTATATTCAGGTTTATGCCTACATATTTCCGTGCCTCCACCGACGTTTACGGTATGAAAGCGAAGGAAGAGCTTAGAAGGATGTGTGGTGCGAGACGTTCAGCCTGACAAAATATGCGGGGACGAGACCTTCTTGGACCGGTCTCACCGAACAACGGACGTGTAGATAAGCTCAAGAACTTGTCAGTCATAAACCTTCACTTTAAAAAAATACTGTATCCCGTTGTTACTTCAGTGGCTCTGACCTCGAGTAGCCACTGAGGGGGAAGCAAGGACAGGGCAATAAGCTCCAAGGAGGCTCGACAAGAACGCAATGCTCTCCAAGGTTAGGGTGTTTCGTTTCTGTGTGCGTATGCTCTGCGCACCTCGGAGGTGTTGATATCTATTTGTGGCCATAATTGGGGAGCTTCTGCGAGTGTAGCAATCTGGGATTTTCATGGAGAGATGGTGTCACAAACAGAGCAGCTCATTGGTTAGAAACTGCAAGACCTACCTAGTTTGGCAGACAGTCTTACACCCTCACTACCACACCTATGAGGTATTTTGTGAATAGATAAAACCATATAGGTCACACTGATAAAAATACAATCCGATTATTCCTGCTAGCGGTTTAAATGAAAAAGTGGTAAAAAAAAACTCACCTCGCCACCCGGACCGACAAATGTGGTGTGGAAATTTAGTAAAATATCGGCAAAAAATATGACATCGACAATCGAATCCATAAGCGCTACGGAATCGATGCCGCCACCCGGATATTCCCTAAATAGTTGAGTTTCGACGATCGGGAAAAAAGATGAGGGTAAAGGAATAGGATAGAAGAATGAGGTCATGCGTTGGGGTTCACATTTATTCATGAGTCGTCATGGTTGATTTTTTCATTAAATTGGTGCTTTTTTGAGTCGTCAGCGCTTGGTCACAAAACCCTTTTTCTGTGACTGCTCTTGTAGGATTCCCCACTTAAACAAAACTTCGTGCACACGATATCAACGAAGGTATAAGCTCTCATGCACGGTGCTGCCTAGGCAAGAAGACCCATGGCATTGTTACGATTAGTGAATTAGTCCAATTGGACCCACATGGTAGTAAAGCATTAGGTTTTTAGCAGAGTACGAACGTAAAAAGCAGAACTGAATTCAACCAAAGCGTAAAACGTTGAGAACTGTACCTGAACGGTTGCATGAAAAATGGTTTAAGGCTAAAATGTAAGTGAATAAATCGGCTGGGAAGCATTTCTCCAAAGACATGTGACCATCGGCCGATTTTACGGAAACTGTTGCCCAATTCAACTCTTCTAGGATACGCCACGCGTTCAACGCGGATCCAGAATGTCAGGTGCATTTTGACGCGTAAGGGTATATTCTGAGCATCGAACGAACACGTTTCTAGGGCTTAAGCCATCCCTTTGCCGTTTGAGCAATTGGTAGTAATGAGGGAATAATTCCCAATCACTTTCATATCGATTTAGGTCGTTATTCACGAGAGGTTAGTGAGGAATTTTGAATGATGAGGAACCCAACCTATCCTGCTTG